GCTCAACATGGAAGTAGTGTCATCAGCACTCCCTGAGCCCAGTTCTCCTTACTTTGGGCCATGTAGACTTCCAAAATAACCTGGAGAGTTGCTCAGCTTTACTCCATGGGGATAACTTGGAGTAAGTGGGCCTCCAATGTCTTTGTGCCAAATTTGTGAGGGAGAGGAGATGATTAGTTTTTGTAGGCAGCAGTTGTTTGGTTGGTCAAAATCCTAGTCCATCACCTCAGAGGTAGTGAAAATAGTCCATGCTCAGCACAGAGATGGGGCCACCTGGCCCATCCAGATTCACTGTTGCAATTTGCCGTTGACCCTTACAATGTCTGCCAGCATGGGAGATGCCGAGTAGGGGGAGGGAGTATCATTAATATTCCTTTCCTCAGAAGACATCGGCATACAGATAGATACACAGGCATTGTCAGTTCCTCTTTAAGAACAACAAGATGCTCTTAAAATAATTTCTAAGTTGCTTCTTAGTAAAGCCATTATGTCCAAGATAATCTGTCAAATGTTCAAAAGGATATTAAAGTCAAGCTTATCTATAGAAGAGAACCACTGTGCATAGCTTTCAAGTCGTGCATAACTAATGGCTACATCATCAAGATAGTGCCCTCTTCCAGGGACCAGAGAGAGAAAGCTTCCTTTTTGTAGTCAAAGGAATTGGTCATGAAGACTCAGTATACCCAGAAATAATACAGAGCTATGTTACTGTCCTCACTACTTCTCCTATATGGAAGGAGTGAAAGATAACTTACCAGGCGGTAATGCTGATAGAAATAATTTCATTAGCGGGCTACAGAAAAGCAGCTATATTAATTCCTTAATTGGAAATACTCATTGCTGGAAAGTTTGAGTGAATTTTCATATTAAGTTCATTTGAAATTCCATTGTAGTGTGCAATCTCGTAGAGGTAAAAGAGCCAAAGTTGGCTATAGAATGCAGAAATGAGCAGTGTGAGTTAGGCTGTGACTAGTCATTAATAAGGGATAGTGAGGAAGGTACCAGCTTTTACCTTCAATTTTAATTTCTCTAAAAGCATTTATACATGTAGACCTGTGGGGTTTCCTGTACATATGCAGCAATTTATGCCCACTCATATATACAAACTTTATAATTATTAAAACTAAAATTAACTATACACATTCAGTTATGCCACTAAAGTTTGCACTGTGAATTGTAAATGATAGTGAGTGAAAGGTATATTAACTTTTCCAAATAACTTTGAATGAATAAATGCATGAATCAACTATTATTGGATGGTGATCACGAGTGAGGCCGTTATTGCCACCTGGTGGCAGCATACCCTAATTGAAGCATTGGTTTTTGAGTGAAATCGAGAAATCTAAATATCTAAAGTGACCGAAATCATATCACGTGAGTTGATATCACACGAATGAAGTACCAAACCGTCAGAAGCCCCTGTAATTTAAGTACAATGTTTGTGTTTTTATTTTCTATCTCAAGTGAAGAGGACAGACTACCTCCTTGGTCTTTGGTACAAGGCTGGTTTCCCTTAGGCCCTAAGAGTGTTCATTTAATGAGCCACAAATCCATTTTACCCAGAAGGTGTCCCCAGGCCTATGTTATCACCATATTGACTAAAAAGGTTTAATTATGTCATTTTTACGGTGTGGTAGAAATAACATTGGCTATAGATCTAATCCAACAGTGGATTCTGGAAATAAGTAGTACTCTTTACCCCTCAAAAAATCTGCAATTCAGTGGATACATGCACATACTTATTTACAACAGATTATTTTATTAAACGAATCCCAGTGGCCTGGCCACAGTTCAGACAAATGACATCCTTCACTCTGGAGTTGGAAATAAACATCGATATTTTTGTTAGAGCTTCCCAGGGGTTTCAATGTGCAGCCAATGTTGAGAACCACTGAACTGGAGTAAAGAGAAGGTTGAAAAATGGGCCAAGGAAAGATGACGTTCATGCTTGAAATTAGAAAAATCTGTGGCAAAGCCAAATATAAAATTCAAGTGTGAATGAAAACCACACAGCCAAAAACAAATGCCTCTACCTCCAAAATTCTTCAGAAACTCTGAAGAATAATAGAAAGTAAGCCTGTCTTAATTGACAACTCTCTGCGCAGGCACTTTTTGTATGTGTTTCATTTAATCTTCATCCACATGGTAGACTTTATTATCCCTGTGTCCCTTACAGTTTCAGAAACTGAGGCAAATGTAGATTAGCACAAGGTCATAGAATTTGTAAATAGCATGGCATGGATTTAAACTTCAGACTGACTCCAGATCTCATGGGTATTTCCATGACACCTTGCTGAGTTCAAATTGTTTGAGAAGGAGACTAGCCATCAGACTTCCAAGGTTCTCCTTTGATACGTTGACAATTTCTTCTTGAGCCTGACAAACCACTAGGACTGAGGCTTTAACAGGTTTGGAGAGAGACTCAGCTCCGTGATTCATATGACTCTCCTTTGTCTCATCTCCCTGTTTATCAGCCAACCTAGCCAAAGAAACACTATAGTTCAAATGCAGAGAAAGCAGTGGCTTCCAGCTGATCAGAAGATGAATCAAAGGCAGATTTTTAATGGGAATTTGGTAGAAACAATGCCTTTTTTCAACCATAAATAGAGTGCCCCAGTGGTTTCAAACTGGTAAAGTGTGGTGTCTGATCAACTATCTCCTCTATTTTTGGACTGTATAGAACCCTCTGGACTTGCCCAGACTCCTGGGCTATTTCACTTTATCCTACTGTGTATCCCGATGATCCAGTCAGTCAAAGAGTAAAACAAGACATCCTGAGCGTCTACTGGGGACCCTCCCTATAGACCCCTGGCATGATGGGTTTGTGGTCTGGTAGAAGAAAAACGCTATGCACATGTGCAAATCTAACCATGTCACTTCCCTGCTTAAAATCCATCTAATGGCCTTCCTTTGTGTTCAAGAAACCTGTCTTTGACAGGTCCTGAAAGAGTCTGCTTGATTTGAACCTTGTCCATTTCTCCAGAATCTTCTGTTACCCTCTTCCTCTCAGTCTCCTAAGAATGCATTCTTCCCTCAGCCAACCTTTGCCTAAACCTGTCACTCTCTGCTAATGCAGTCCCAGTCCCTAAACCAAACATGGGTTATTAGTAATTCATTGCCATATAACAAACCACCCCCAAACTCAGTGTGTTAACGTCCCCGCCCTTTAACAGGCTAGTGATTCTGTGATCAGCAATTTGTGCTGGGATCCTCTGGTATCTGCTACAGCTGCTTTTGCAGCGGCAGGTATCTGGCCTCTGGAGCAGGCTGAATGATCTACGGCAGTGTTGTTCACCGCTGGAGCAAGGGGTTAGCTGGTTGGGGTCAGAGAACTCAGCAAGGGCGGCTCTTTCCAGGGGCCTCTCATCACCCGGTAGGCTAGATGGGACTTCCGTTGGTGTTCGGAAGGTTGTGCTTCAAGGGAGCAAGAGGAGAAGTGTCCACTTCTACGTGCAACTGGTTACTTAAGTCAGAGGCTAGCCCAGATTCTGTGGGTAGGGAAACCAATTCCACCTCTTGATGGGGGCGGCTGATGGTTTTTTATCTACACCACCTGACTGACTAATGCTCCCGCTTCCTTAGATGGCAGTTCTCATTCTCCTACAGGAAAGCATTACTCTGAAGCACTGGATGGGATTAGATCCCCTGTTACAGGCTGTCAAATCACCTGCCCCTTGTTCTTGCAGTATTTATTAGTTTACGAGCAAATACTTATTTGTGTGATCGTTCCATTAAATCTGGCTTCCCTCCTCAACTATGACCTCGATGAAGGCAGGGACAGGGTCTGTGCCTTCAGTATGTACCACAAAGCCAGGCCCAGAGTCTCCATCCAGTAAGCAAGCACTTGCTGACCGAACACAGCACAGGAAAGTCAATTGGCAGTAAAACAGCTTAGGAGGTAAATGGCCACTTGGGAGTCGTCGAAGGAATTCATCAGGTTGTGTGACCGCTTCGCCTTGGGTATTCACATCAGCGAGCGTTCACATCATGGGTGCCAGTGAATGCCCTCAAAAGCAATAGGAGATCACCGATTGAATTTTTACTGAGAAATAAACAGGCATTTCATCTTCACGTATTTTTAGTGCATGAAAAGTCACAGGTAAACAGGGAATTATTAGCTCCTATATTGATTCATTAACATTAGCATATTTTAAAATACTGCCCTAACTCATCGTGTGCCATTTATATATAAATAAGGAAGGGTAGATGGTAGAGAAAGACAGAAGTCTTAGGCCAACCACAGAGTCTTTGTAACCCTCAGGTGTCTTTTTTTTTTTTTTTTTTTCAGCAGGTGGGGAGAATTTCCCAGGGCTAATCTATCATGTCAAAAATACCCATGATCTGTCAGTTAAGCCCCTGATATTTTTAGTGCTGGAAAATCTGTCAGAATGACCAAAAAGGCTCACATTTACAGAGTGTAAGAAACAAAACCACGTGGGTAGACTGAAATGAAACAGTCATTAGTAGTAAGTTTGAGGTTGGTTGCTCTTTAAAAAAAGAAACAAACCAGTGTCTTCTGTTTTTCCAGTGCTGTCAGTCTTCAGGGGCCCCTTTGTACTCTCTGAGAATCAGAAATGTGCCAACCCATTTCTGGTTTCTTGCCATTGTGTTTAAAATCCGGATTTTACATATTTAGGGTATTCACCTGGGTAACCTCTTCAGTGAAATTGAGCTAAGTTCAAAATAGTGTACTTTCAGAAACTCGGTGCTCTGTGGGTTACGAATGATTGCCCATCACGCTGTTCCCACCAGGGCAGATGACATCTTTGGTAAATCCCGAAACATGAGACACTCTCTTTTCTCATCTCGCATTATTCTCTTTTTAATTTCCTCTATCTCAAAATATATCCAAAAGGACTTCCCCATGAACACTGTGACAGAAAGAAGTTTCAAAAAGCATGAGAGAGTTGCTTTTTTTTTTTTTTTTTTAGTTTTTATTTAAATTCCGGTTAGTTGACATACAGTGTAAAAGAGCATGAGAGAGCTATCAAAGAGAACTAGTTTGCACTAAAGATTTAATAGATCTCTGGGCAATAGGCTTTCAAAATTTTAGCATTATGTGGATCAGATATGTAGTAGTTTAAGCTCGACTGTGGTAGCAAACAGATCCAAATTTGCAAGGGCTTGGCACAATAACATTTTTTTTTTTTTTTTTTGTCATATCAGTATGTAACACTCCAGCTAGGTGGCAAATGAAGAGCATGTTGAAGGTTTGCGGGTGGAGTGGCTCTGCTCCACACTCATTCAGGAATCCAGGCTGATAGCGATTCCGCCATCTTGAATATGTGGTTTCAGTAGTCATCTGGGGCTGCCACCACAGGCCGCCAGAAGAGGACAGGGAATAAAAAAGGATGCACGGTGATGGCTCGTATCATATTCGTTCACATTCTGTTGGCCAAAGCTCAGTCTCATAGCCACATTAAACTGCAGGAGAAGCTGGGTGAGGCCATGTCTGTAAATGAAGAAAATAACAGGAAGATGGTAAACAGTACCTGAAACAAAGTATTGGCACACGAAAAATTCAAAGCTCTTACTAAGAGAACGCTGTTCTTCAATATTATCTCCCATTGCTTCTCAAATCTCACCTACTAGACCAGCTCTCACACTGTCCTCTAAAATACAGTATTTTTCCAGTCTTCTTGTCTCTAGCTTCACCATCTCTTCAGTCTGTGCTGTATATCGTGGTCAGGGCCCCTCTTCTAACCCATAAATACGATTGTCTTTGTATTTTTCTTCTTCAGTAGCTCCCAGTTATTCCATGGATGAGGCGATACGGCCATGCTATACAGGCTCCTTCACAATCCAGCCCTTAGACTGTATGGTGTAGAGGTTGGGAACACAGACCCTGCAACCAGATTGCCTGGGGTAGCTTCTGAGCCACTCACTGGCTGTGAAACTTTGAGCCAGGCTTAACATCTCTGAGTTTCTTTCCTTATCTCTAAAATGGGGATAATACTCACATCTAACTCACTGAGTCTTTGTGAAGTTCATCGATTTCCTATATGCAAAGTACTTGGCATACCCCATGCTTGCCTGAATGGTCATTGTTCTGTGACCTCACCTTCCAGGATTTTATCCCACGAACGTTCCAGTTCAGATGTACACAGCACCGGGGAAAGCAGTGTCCTCACAGAGATAGCAAATCGCTAATACAGTGCTTCCTATGTTCCAAGAGATGTGAGATAATAAACTTCCATTGTTTTAAGCTAACATCTGAGGTTATTTGTCCCAAAGCAATAGACAAGGTTGTGAAAGGTCAGGTCTAATTTATTTACCCTCTTTGTATCTAAGTTTCTTACAGCCCCTGAGTCTTCATTTATAGAGGTAATACCTATTTTGCCAAACTGTTGTGAGAATCGTATTAAATTATCACCTTAGACTCAACCGCATATTAGAAGGGATATGAAAGTGTTTAACTCAATGCCCGGTACTTAGAAAGTACTTAGTTAACATTTCCACCTTCCTTCCAGGCTTCTCGTTCCTACCAGCTTGGGTTTCTAGCACTCAAGATGGATTCTTTAATAGATTCTACGCATAAGTATCAGCCCCTATATAGGTCTCTATCTGAAGACTTAGGAGAAAAAAAAATATTTTCTAGACTGATGCTAAACATTCTTGAACAGCTTTGAGAGGAAGCTGTCTCCAGTCCTCAGTGTCTCACCCCAGGATTTTTCAATGTCCCATTTCAAACCACTACAGTGAATGTAGTGCAAATGTAGAAGGACTTGGTAGTTGTTGGTGACAAAAGAAATGCAACAAAATTTGCAAACTCAGGAAATATGCAAATTTGAAACAAAGAGGGACTTCACCCTGTCGTGAAATGCCTCAGGGCAGCGATTTACTACAGAGGATGTGCCGGAGGCCCAGCCCCACATGCCACTGGGGCTTCTGTGGACCAGGCTTTTACAGCTGTGAGAAACTGGATGCTGGTCGACCTTTTTAATTTTCTGTACTCACAGCCTAAATAATCAACATTGCAAGGGCTCAGCGGGTTCATAATTATCAGTGAAACAGTGAATCTCTTGGGGTTTTGCTGATGTGTCCTTAGAGCATGTGAATAGAGTGGGCAAGAGGAAAATGAAACATGCAAAGGGGGCAGTGCCTCTCCTTCCCGGAAGGCAGTCCATTTGGGGAAAGGAGCTTTAATGCTGGCAAGGAATCTGGAGTGTTCTCCTGTTCTTTGTGTTCTTTGCCAGTGTCTTCTCTCAAGCTCATATCATAAGTATGCTTCCAAGGGAAAGCCACAACAATGGTAATAATAATAATAGGTAAAATTTATGAAGTACGTATGTGTCAGAAGTCAACACAATTCTCAGAGAACAGTATGTATATGTGCGCGCGCACACACATAGCCATTATCTATATTTTACAGAAGAGCATACAAAGGCACAGGGATGTTGGTAACTTGACCACAGTTATACAGCAAACACATGGTATGGTATCTTCAAGAGTCTAACCCAGGCATTCAGGTTCTCAGGCCTGCCTTGCTGATGTTAGCCAAAATTATTATTAATGATGAATTATCAAAAAGGAAAAACACCCTAAACACTTCATACCCTTTACGGTTCACTGTGTTTTTCCACATGTCATGTCTCATTCTCTGGTGGATCCTAATCATTCCCATTTCACAGCTGAAGAAGCCCAGTCAACAAGAGCCAAAGTGTCCTCATCACTCTGAGTGTTGGAACCAGGAACCCCGTATTTGCCATGCAAGCTTTACCACAAACATCTTCTGATAGTGAGAGAGTTGCTTTGCTTCTCTAAACCTCTTTGAACCAATTTCCTATAAAATGGGAATAATAAGAGTTTCAACCTCATGCGCATACTGGAACACCACATGGGATTAGACGTATAAAATGGCTAGCAGAATTCATGGCACACGGAGGGTGTGTGATAAATGTGTGTTACTGTCATCAGTAAAACCATCTCCATTATTAGCAGACTTGATTTTTTTTATACATTGCTGGGGAAAAAAAAATAGTGGATAATCCCTCAACAGAGTTTCATCCTTTCAAATATATACCCCCTACTCTTAAAACTACTTAGAAGAAGTTCTTCTAAGTTAGACTTTGAACAAAGAAAAATTCTGCTCTGGCAGGAAGCTGGTGAAGTAAAAAGAGGAAATTTTACTTTATAAGCACTTTTTCTTTCTCCGGGAGGTGGACACTAAATGATTTGTGTGTGCATTTGTCTATGCAGCTCTCAAAATTAAAATTCCTTTGAGGGAACCATTGAAAACCAATCATTCAAAAAGCTTAAAAAATGACATCTTGAAGAGCTCCTTGGTGCTAATCCATCAAGGTTAGCAATGATTCAACTGTGATTCTTTATTCAGATTCATCTCTCCCACAATATTCAATGCCATCAAGCTTTGCAGCATCGTATCCCAATGAATGGAGATACTAAGAAGAAAGTAAGGTGGGCAAGTCGGAGGAGAACACACAGATGAGCCCACCCTAGCTACTCTTGAAGGAGAAAAAGAAAAAGAAAAAAAAAAAACTCTCTGGAAAGAGTGATCACTTACCCTTGACAATTTCTTCACTTACTAGTGTACTGATAGGGTCACTTATCTCAAACAGCTGAAAACTGGATGAAGTTTACAATCAGCCTTTCTAAATTACTTGGAAACCATTTTCAGCAATATTCCTCATGTAGCCCTTGGACTAACCCTGCAGTTGGAGGAGTATCACGTTCCCATTTCAAAGAGGAGAGGACGGAGTCACAGAGAGGTTATTTCCTCCAGATCAAGTCAGTAAGACCAAGAATCAGGAATGATAGTGTCTTCTCCAAATCTCCTGTTCTTCACGTTATTGTTCGTATCTAGAGAATGCTTAAGATTAATAACAGCTCAATAATAATAGATAAATGTCCTTCTATAAAGTCTAAGGCTTAAAAGTTATTTATTACTTATAGAATAAATTAAATGCCAATCATTTCACAATATTTATTGAGCACATTAGGCCAGGGGTATATATGAAATATAAGGCCCTGTGTCTGTTCATTGGGATGAAAATAGAGTCTAGTTGAAGAGATAAATATAAGCCAGATAACAAACAAAATAATAGTGTGTGGAAATCAGTCATTACTTTAGACCATCTTTTGCTAAGCTGTAAGGCATCTTATTAGTTCTTCCAGGTGTTAATAATAGGTCTGCCTTTAAACCTGAAACAAAATTGAGTGTGGTTCGTGGTGGGGGGACATGCTATGGAAACACAGCATACGTCTCTTATTAGAGATTCACTGAGTACTGTAGCCCATCCCAAGTTCCTGAAGTCATACAAAAAACTAAAAACGTGGTTACCTTTATCAAGCCAGCATCTCTTAAACTTTTCATCATGAAACAGGTTTACTCAAAAAAAAATCTCATTAAGGAAATAGTGTTGTAGAGCACAGCCAGTGATTCTCAAACTTGAGAACACGTGAAAGTCATGTGGAAAAGTTGTGAAAATACAAGTTCCTTGGCTCTACCCCCAGGAATTCTGATTCAGGAGCTCTGGAGTGCAGCCTCAGAACTGGCATTTTGTACAAGCTCCCAGCTGATCCGATATTACAGGTTTGAGCACTAAATCTGAGAAGCATCTCTACATAACAGTTTCGAAATGCTTTTGTAGAATGCTAGACCCTTACTGTTGACTGAATTGTGCCCCCATCGCCAAAATTCGTATCTTGAAGCCCTAACCCTCGATGTGATTACATTTGGAGGTAGAGGTTTGGGGAGGTAATTAAGGTTACATGAAGTCAGTTATCAGATGGAGTCCTTATCCAATAGGATTAGCAGCCTTATTTTTTTTTTAGAGAGAGAGGGAGAACACAAACAGGGGAGAAAGAGAGAGAGAGAGAGAGAAAGAGAGAGAGAGGAATCCCAAGCAGGCTCCTCGATAAGTGTGGAGCTTAATGCAGGGCTCGATCCAATGACCCTGGGATCATGACCTGAGCCAAAATCAGGGTCAGACTGACCCACCCAGGTGCCCTTCGTTGGTGGCCTTAATAGAAGAGAAAGGGGCTTCCCCTGACCCCTGCATCTGTGCTCATGTACCAAGGAAAGGCTTCGTGACCATAGAGAAGGTATCCATCTTCAAGCTAGGAAGGAAGCCTTCACCAGAACCAGACAATGCTGACACTTTAGAGTGTCAGACTCCCAGCCTTGAACAAACGGTGAGAAACATGTATAAGCCACCCAGTCAATGGGATTTTGTTACGACAGCCCATGCCAACTAAGACAACTCTGAGGCCCCTGATTTTTTTTTATAGTATTCGCAAATTCATATAAATAGTCTCACACACAGAGTTGCATCCCTTTAACAAATATGCCAGAAAAAATACCTGATCTAAGCAGGAAAGAAAGAATGAAGAGCGTGTTTTTAGAAGTCCATAATTCAAACTCTATGTCTACAGCAATTAAGATATGTAACTTTGAGCATGGATAGGAGGGCATTTCAAATTGAGGGGAAA